ATCATACTAAGACAACTATATATTTCCAAAACAAACCCCAAGAAGAATCAGATTGACATCAATGAGATACCACTTTAAAGAACTAAAGCTTGATTTGTTGACAAAATAAAATTATCTTTGTATTAAGAAAAACGCATCGTTGGCAATCAGCTTGCAGTTTCACCTGTGATAGGTTTTTGAGCAGTTCTTGAGCACTTAAAGAAGAGTTCTGTTTTTCTCTGCTTTACCGTTGGCATTTCAAAAGAAGTTAGCAGACTTCCACATGAATTTTGTGAGTACAACCAGATTGGCTGCCAATTTTAAAGACTGATTTTATGTGTGAATAGCATGGATTCCTTTCTACCTCAGAATAAAGTATTAGTCTTCAAAAATCATACCATTATAGCATATTAGGTTTTGCAATGTTTCATTATTACTTTTACATTGGATTAACTATGAAGTGAATTAATCTAATGTTAACCAAAATACCTTAACTTAGTTAATAGAACACTTTTATTTCCCCTAATCTCTGCTGGCAGAGGTGTGACACAAACACCAGAACCAAGAAAAGTGTAGAGCATGTGGCCAGAAGACAGGATCAGGAATGGTCCTCTGCGTGACAGTAAGAAGTCAGACTAGCTTGTACCATCTCATCTACCTTAACACTTACCATTAATTCCTAGGTCATTTGCAGACTTCCCTTTCTAAAACACAAAACTCCAATGCCGCCAAAACATGTGCTTTCTTCAAATTTATATTACTGCAGGTATCTTACATTTCTCTCCTTCTTCTTTTTCCAGGCACAATAAACAAGACTGCTCCAGCTGATCTAGGTAACTGAAAGAATCACTTTATTTACTAGTGCAGACTACAGGAATCATCCCATGTTTTCTTTTCTACACAGGCGTTCTGAACATCCAGAATCTATTGAATGGGTGATATAAAAAATGCAGGATGTCAGGCAAAAGCTAGCCAACAGCTCTGCATTTCTTATTTTTATAGAATCTAGTGCCCTATGGGTCAAAGTAGCAAAAATCAAGAAGTGTTTCTCACAGGTAGACAAAGATCAAAGTGCTTTTATCCCTTTACAGCAGAAATAAGCACATTATCTCCCATTCTCTCAATCCAGAATATTCAGCCAACTTTCTCAACTGTCTTGTGATGTAGAAACTGGTGCTGAGAAAGACCATCATATACATGGGAAAAAGAATGAAGACTACCAACTTGGTAAAAAACACCTGAAACAATAATTGAGAAGTAACAAAAAAAATTCCAGCTGAAGATCAAAAAGTTATTAAAAGTTACATACATATGTGTAGACACACACATACTCACAGACCTGCAGAGTTAGGAAATGTTTTTATGCTGGGTAATAGGCAAGAAAGCTTGCAAGTCAGTGTCAATGAATGTTATGCGCACGTGAAGATAACGAGGGGAGAAATTTACCCCTGAAAACATCTTCCCAGAAGTCTCTCAGCTCTGACTTCCCACAACCTTCTTTCTCTTCTGGGGTAGCCCCCTTGTCTGGTCCTCTGAATCTGTGTGAGTGAAAAACTGATTTTTATGAACAGGTTTTCCTAAACAAGTCATATTACTTTAAACTGAGGCCTAGACGTGCAATATGGTATGTATCTACATACATGCACATAATACATGCACATATTAAAGATGTAAGACACTTGTGCAACACTTGAGCACAACCAATAAACATACATCATCATTCTTTGAATATTCTCTATCAGGAATTATTCTGTTCCTGAGTAAGTGCTAGAGAGCATGGCTGTACAGGCATTGTTATCTTGTTCAGAAAAATAGCCACAGAAAAGGGCCGAGAAAATATATCAACAATACCAACTTCAAGCCTCGGTCCATTCTGAGGCAACACACTATTTTTTTCCCCCAAAATCCCTTTTAATACAGCATTTTAATAAAGTTTTTTTTCACAGCAGTGAAACAATACATACACCAAATGTAGACCCTTCTACTAAAAACAGTATTTCCGCTGCTTTTCGTTATATAAAAGTGTAGAAATTTCCCTAAGCCAGAGGAACACTAAATCCTTTGTACTCCTCTAAATGCTTTAGCAGATTTACCCCTTAATTACTAGTATTTGTGTTTCTAAAAGTATTACAAAGAAATAGCTCACAGAATATTGAGTACTTTAAAGATAAGATTAATAACTACATTAGTTATTTAAATCTTTACTAATGAGAAATTTGATTTTTCAAACAAATCTGCCCATAATGTCAGTGACTATATTACTTTTGTGACAGTAGAGAGATATCACTAGTAGTTGCTTGATGCACAGCAGCACTGTGTAATCCAAGTAGAGACTTGGATTTACAGTCCAATACCTCTTTACCAAGGAAATATAAATTACTTATAGTACTAAGGAAGATTGGCTTGTACACTTCCAATTTGAAATAGTGGTATGACTATGAAAAGTTTGGCCCATAGTCTTTATATGGCCTAGAGCGCCAGACTGGGCAAGACAATAAGCTGAGACAACGTTGTTCTGCCAAGAGTAACTAGTCTCCTGCATGGATACGTGAACAAGAAGCTCTTGTGCTGCCCAGTTTGCAATTCAGATTTATCAATGTAAATGGAGATGAGCAGTTACATAAAATGATAATCGAAAAATTGAGACATCTTAGTGTCTAAAATACCTCCTCAAGAGCTGTGTTACCTGAAGGCAGCAGGAAGTCAGAGGTGATAAACATTTCAGCTACTCCAGGTAACTGGTTCAAAGCAAATGCAAGGTGAAACCTAAAGGTGCTTAGCCCTGCCAAAAATAAGTTGCCGTTCTTAAAGTTTTATTTAACAGCTACTGTTAGAGAACAAAGAGGACACGGAAATATTATCTGTGAATTTGTCCTTGATACAACTGATGTATTCTAATAACTTTAATCACATAACAGTCTCTCAAAACCTGTGTGAAAAGACTCTGGCAATACAGCCATTATCTCTAAGAATAAGTAACTTGTGCAAGCATTTTTTTTCTTGTTTCATCAGTTCATCAAGCACCAGTTTAAATTTCCAGCAGGGAAACAGCTGTACTACATTTCTAACTTTAAGAAGTTTTTTCAGCTGGGTCACAATATTCCAAATCAATCTGCTATCCAGAAGATTCTTACATTTAAATAAAGCATAAATTCTTAGGTAAATAAAGCGTAAATTCTTACGCTTTTTGCCGTTCTCACCCTGAAGACAACGAATTCCTAGAACTCAAAGTGCAAAACTTTACAAAAACTTGTTCTCCAGCCTCCCAATTCACTTATACTGTCTGCATAACAAGTATTAATGGTGGATTGTTTGTTGTATTTACAGCAAGTTTATTGGGAAGAGGGAAAGTATTCTTTTACAAATGAGCCATGTTCACTATTGAGATTACTTTCAAAGAGAGCATTCAGAAAGCAAACCTGAATATATTACATTGACAATTACGTTTCAATATTGTAACATCAGCCACTTAAAACTGGTTTTGTTATTAGCACATATACTGATCTTTAAATATACTACTTCTACATAAACAGTGCAAATCTCAATATTCACATCAACCTGAAATTAATGCTGCAATTACTGTTGACATTCACATCAAGAAAGTAGTAAACTATTTCACATGAGCAATTCCAAAACCTCAGAATGCCATTAGTAATATTAAAGAAACACAGAACAAACATGTTGGGCTTGAAAGCCTTGTTTTGATACACACAATCTCTGTAAACATGGATGTATTGTACTTGTCAATACTGATATCTGATATAATTCTATAAATAAAACCACTGATAAAAACAATTCCTATAACCTTTTTTTTGCATAGGGTTTGGATTAAGGTTACTTTAAGATAGAGCAAGCCGTTAACAAAATCCCCCGGTCAATTAGGCTTCCAGCACACCAATTCAGGCCTACGATTCACTTTGCCCAAGTACGTGACTGACTTCAGTGGAAACTTACACATGTAAGCATGTGCACAATCGGAGTCATCTTTTGCACTTAAGTTACCCCATGTCATCGAGAATACGAGCCATAAAAGAACTCTCCATAAATTTATAAAATTGACTGATTTAAAAGTTTATGCTGATGTTTCTGTAAGTCACATTTATGATTCCAAACAGTTATGTACATACTATACTATCACAGTAGGAAATTCTTCACTGTGGAGCACCACAGTGAACAAGTTGTGAAGCACAGTGTTCAATATAATTTCCCTTTAGTATTCCCAGTGCATAAATTGTTAACATCTACACTACACAAGGTGCCCAGGTCTAGTATTTGTTATATACAATGTAAAAGCAAGATAGAAAGAGCTTCGCAGCTTAAAGGAAGGAATGAAAACAGCGGGTAATATACAGGGATTCACTCCCGCAAAGTACAGAATTCTCCTTCACAACGACCTCGACCACCAAATATGGTGCATTTCAGGTCATTCAACCCAGTAAGACAGTGCTCAGCACCTTGTAGGAAGAGACATCTGAGTGCACTTTATTAGAAAACATCCGGTTTTGATGTTATAAAGTGCAAAAGAAATTCTAATATTTTACAATCATTATTAAACTGCCGTATTTGCACAATGCGAAATTCAAATAACTGGTACATATTTCGTATGGACCCTATAATAACAAATGTCAAAACTGGAGTTTTTGCATCTTTAAAAAAATCTTAGTACTTTAAAGTTATTGTGTAAATATAAAAAGAAAATATAAATTATAATTAATTCTTGAAATAGGTATTTTAACATGTGACCATTTTCCAAAGCATTCAATGCAAAGTTCACTTTCTCTTATAGCATTGCATTTTAGAATCTGCAAAACATTTTAAAAGTTAATAACTTCAAAAAGTAGAAATAAAAATTATTGTATCACAGTACTAGACACTTCACCCTATCAGACATCTTTTACCCTAGATGATTTTTAAAAACTTAAATAAATAAGAAAACAACCCTAAGACTTATATTCCCAGTTGTTTAAAACGAGATAAATGGAGTTACTTTTTAGAACAATATAGAGTTCCATAATGCTTCATTTTGCTCTTACAATTCAAATAAACGGGACAGAACGTAACCACAAATTTTAAAGGCTTTGAAGTACTGTAATGCTTTGGTGCGTTGTACCAATGATTCTTTACGTGCATGAAGAGTCAAATTCTGTGACATTCTTCACAGAGCTGGGTAAAAGCAGAAGGTCCAAGAGTTCTTACAGAGCTTTCCTTTCTTTCAACAGTGAGGAAGAAACTGGAAAGAAGATTCTGACACTGAGAAAGTGTTCCTCCAAGCTGTACCACGAGCAGTGTAGCTTCTTATCTTGAGCTTCACTGCACACTAGTAATTTAGCCCTAAGAGAATACAATGTTGGTTGTATAATAGTATTATACCATATCCAGTGATACCAAACTTAATGCTAAAAAGAAATGTATTGAAATACAAAGCTAAAAAGGTATGATTGAAATATGTTCTTAAAGCAACAGACATATTCTTGTAGCCTGTAAGTCACAGGGAGGATGGGTGGGAGAAGACAGTATAGGTACTACCAAGTTTATAACCACTGATATCTTCAAGACAGGATATTCTCTGCCTTTCAGTCAGAGAACTGGAAGATAGTTTCTGGGTTATTGCTGTCTGTAGGGTTTGTTGGCTGCAGTGTCTTTGTAGGTGTAGTTTTACCATGAGAGTGAGAGGAAGAAGAATGTGAACTTTCACTGGAGCTGCTACGTGTCTCTGTGCTTGTACTTGTTTTTTTCATTTTCCTTCTCTTTGCAAGAGGTGCCTTGTCAACATTCTGGAGACAAAATCCTTCCCTTTTGTACTTGTTAAAGGCCTGTTTAAAAATAAAAGGTAATTCTAAGCTTTTTGAGAGATTTAAGACATATTATGGCTTGTAGCTTGTAACAAATGTTCTATGGTAAATTGCAAGATAAACTGTAATCTCTTGACAGATCCCTACTAATTCTTGTTGTAGCTGTAACAATAGCTTTATTAGCCTTTACATGTATCAAAGAGCTAATATAAAACATTATTAATTGGCATCCTTGGTCTTTTTAATTTAGAAATATTTTTATTAAGCCTTAAACCTATTTAAGATTCCATTTTCTGAAGCTACTCTTAGTTAAATTACAGTTTTTCTTTAAGCCCAAATTATGTTGCATTATCAGGACTTCTCCAAATAACCTTCTTTCTCTTCCTGATAATAAGGGTCTACAAGTATTTCAGCATAATCTGCTCAATTCCAGTTTATTCTGTGTAAAAGGAATCAAGAGAAACAACATCATGTTTGTACAATACATCTGCAGTTCAAACATTCCCAGAAATTTTACCTTGATTTTGTAACCATAAGGACTAAAAATCAGTTACTTAAGTTAAATAGAAAGGTTCTTCTCTTTTTTAATAAAAGTTTAAAGACCTTTAATAGATTTCTCTAAGAAACAGAGTATTTATAACAGCTATTTGATGAACAGCTGTCTCAGCTTCCAAAACCCCAATAGGATAAACGTCTTCAGGAAATTTATTCTTCCCTCATCATTCATTTTTCCACTCTACTTGATCATAGATGTTAGATATTGAGGAAAACATTACAGCTATAAGCAATCACTGAATTATAAGGACAAATACATATTTTCCATTAAGCAAAAACCACACAAAAATCTAGATTAACACACTACAAAATTTAACACATCACAGAAGATGTCTTAGAACTTACGTGAAAAGTGGCTTTGACATAAGTATGCACCGCAGCTCCCGAAGAACCCAAGTTATCAGGAGTCATTAGAGGGTTGGATGACAGCTGGCTGCCATCCTGAAGCCATTCATTGTATCTCAGGCTGGACATTTTAATTCTTTTGTTCGGATCCACTGTTAGAAGCCCTAACAGAAATATATTATATTCTCTTAAATTGGGAGCTACTTACTTTCTTTTAATAGAAGATGCAGTTGTTTTTAGGGAAATTCTCATGCATTACTTTGATAAGTAAGTAAAGACAATATTCATCCTAGGTATGCTAATATTTATCATAGATAAGGCTCACACAATAATATACTATCATCCTCTCCAGAAGAATCATTAAACACAAGAAATCTCTATTTAACAGTTTGATAGTTCGTGTTTTTTTCCAACAAATTCAGGACTATGAAATGATTTCTTCACTTAAAACCTGTCCAGGATGAAGTTTGAGAGAGGAAGCCTCAGATTCTTGGCATGATCCACTGAAGTCTGAACCCGGAGATGCCTACATTTTTGGTCAAAAAATTCTTTAAAAGCCTGCTGCTAGAGAAAATAAGAATTCCACTTTGGCAGAATTAAGATTGGTATCTATCTCATGCTGAAAACATAATCAGATGCTTAAAAGTTTAAGGAGAATCAGAGCATGGCAAACGTGAACGAAGCAGCTCAGAAATACAGTAGTCTTGATATAAGCATTCAAAAACAGCCTGAGTAAAAAGTCATAATAATGAACCAACTGTCTTCAAAAGCTTGGCATTTAAAACATTTCTCATAACTTGGTGCTTTTACAAAAGAAAAAGGTAACGTAAAAAACTCTGCTTTTTAAATGTGTTTTAGAAGGGTGACTGTTTCTGAAGCTCTTCAGTTACTTCTAACCCCTCTAATCTTCCATCATCAAAAGCTCTCTGCTAGGTGTGCAAGCAATCTATTAATGCCATTCTACATGTCCACCTTCATCCATGGGGACTTGTATTAGGGGTCAGGACATAGCTCAAGCTGTGGATACTACTCGGTCACATCAGGCACTCCGATGCTGATCACAGCATCCAGATACAGCAGAGTTTTCTAAAGTTTATCTTTTGAGATAAAAATATAAAGTATATGAAATATTTGTGAATACATACCTTGAATTAACTCTTTGGCCTCTTCAGAAACATTTTTCCAAGCTTCTCCTTCAAAGGAAAATTCTCCCTTTTTTATTTTCTTCATTATTTCCAATGCACTGGTACATGTTAAACTTTTGTCTTGAGACTGAAATGGTACCTGTCCTGATAGCATCGTATACTGTCATGAGAACAAAAGCAGTATTAACAAACACATTATACTTACTGATACGGAGCGGTGTTGTTTGCATCACCAATGCCATACAATAAAATTTTGACTAATAAAACTTCAAGGCTACAGATAATTTAAAATATGTAAGAATTTCTCTGAAGTTCTTGTTCAGAAAAAATACAAGTTTCAGGAAAATATAAATAAAATACGGTGGTATTTCTACCCAGTCTATATCTACTGAAATTAATTTTCTGTAAGTCAGAATACAGGCTGATTCCTTCCCTGAAATGAGGCTATAGGAAGATTATATGGATGCCTGTAAAGTTTCCTAACAAGAATATCTCTTTCTAAGAAAAAGACTGTATCAAGTATTTTTCCCCTTCCTAGAAATGTTAAATTTACTGCTTAGGAAAAAAAAAAAACACCTCTAGAAAAAAATGTTTCTTTGGAACCTGTTATTTGTGCAGTAGTATTTTCACCTCACTTGAATTCACCATGTACTCACTTCAAGCCTGAAATTGTGTTGAGTCATTTGCATTTGAACAAAAGGTAAATACATACATTAAAGTTACAATTAAAAACCTCAATCACTCACCAAAATGACCCCCAAACTCCACAGATCACAAGATTCGTCATAACCGTTGTGATTCAAGAGCTCTGGGGCAGCATAATGAAGAGTAAAACATGGAGTCTTAAGAGGCTGATTATCAGGTGGTTTTAAACGAGCAAAGCCAAAATCAATTATTTTTATTTCTGAATTATCAGTTTCATCTGTAAACAATAAATTCTGAAAAGTAAAAAAAAAAAAAAATAAAAAAAAATCAATGCCAGCACTGGGTAAAAAATTGGTTAGAATAGTGGGTTTTTTCCCCTACATTTATTATTACAGGAAACTCCCCATTATCTAGAGTTAAGAGAGACTGGGAGAAACTGGGGAAAAAATAGAAAAGTAGAGGTAATGGTACTCTGAGATATAAGAAAATGTGATGTGTGTATCTGCCTCCTGTGTATCTGCAAGTCAGGACAGATCTGTCTGAGATTACTAACGAAAATGGGCATTTAGCAGAGAACAGTGGGGAAAATAATTTGGGGAACACCCACAAGAAAAAAAGCCAAAAACATCAACAGAAGATTGCCTGGATCCTCAAACGAAAGTGAATTTTCTCAAGCCTCCACTTCTTTCTGGCACGTTGCAAATGACGGCTTGCTTGTGTGTGGAACTCTTGTGGAACGTCCTGTGAGTCTTTTGTCTTCAAGTGGTGACACACTGAAGCTATATTGCCATGAGCACAATAATGAAAAATCATTTGAAAGCAAAGGATGTTGCAGTAGAAAGTGCACCAATGGCTCAGCAGTTGAACCGACTGCTGTCTGGCATGGATCACAAAAGTCACTACATACACACTTTCTGAAAGAGACCTGGGACCAACGGCATTCAAGCACTGAAGGTCACGTAGCAGTCCAATGTCAAACCAATGGCCTACTCCTTACACTAGCAAGTGTCCTGGTTAAAAGATGTTGAAGTTGAGGGCTGGGCCAGCCACCAAACTCTGACACCAAGGTAAAGAAACTTTGGTAGAGTAGACCCTAAGAAGTCCAGCTTTACAGACCAGACTGTGCAGCTCAGACTTGAAGATAGACAAGTTGTTACCAGTTTGGAAGAAGATTTAAGACAATCTGTTCGTCTTAACCCCGAGTATTTGTAATTGTCAAGGAAAATAAAAGAGCAAAGCTAAGTCTTAGGAGAACTGGCTGAGGCCAAGATGATCTACAAATTACTTCTAGTCCCCCCGCCTTGAACTTCTGAGAAGTGAAAAATTTTGCTGTTACTTTTGCCGTTTAATCTATGCAATGCCAGAAAAAGTCTCAATATTAGAAATCCTATAGCCCTATGTACTTGTCTAATAAAAAAGGTGAATGATTCAAAGTCATTAATTTCAAACTCATTAAGAAGGGGGAAAAAATGACTGCTAACCTGCAATCAGATCCATATGGAGAACCTGAGAGCAGTGTAGGAGAAAAGGACCTGGAGGTCCTAGTGGACAGCAGGATGCCCATGAGCCAGCAATGTGCCCTCGTGGCCAAGAAGGCCAATGGCATCCTGGGGTGTGTTAGAAGGGCGATGGGTAGTAGGTCGAGAGAGTTCCTCCTGCCCCTCTGCCCTGGTGAGGCCACATCTGGAATATTGTGTCCAGTTCTGGGCCCCTCAGCTCAAGAGAGACAGGGAACTGCTGGAGAGAGTCCAGCACAGAGCCACCAGGATGATGAAGGGAGTGGAACATCTCCCTTATGAGGAAAGGCTGAAGGAGCTGGGTCTCTCTAGCTTGGAGAAGAGGAGGCTGAGGGGTGACCTCATAAATGTTTATAAATACAGAAAGTGTGAGTGTCAAGAGGACAGAACCAGGCTCTTCTCAGTGATGTCCAATGGCAGGACAAGGGGCAATGGGTACACGCTGGAGCACAGGAGGTTCCACTTTTTCACTGTGAGGGTGACAGAGCCCTGGCACAGGCTGCCCAGGGAGGTTGTGCAATCTCCTTCTCTGGAGACATTCAAAACCCACCTGGACACATTCCTGTATCCTTTCCTCCTACTCTAAGTGATCTTGCTTTGGCAGGCAGGTTGGACTACATTATCTTTTGGGGTCCCTTCCAACTCCTAATATTTCATGATTCTGTTATATATATATATAATGATACAAATAATGATATGTAAACACCATTATATCTTTGGTATGTTTTTTTTCTAATATTGTTAGAACTCAGTTTATAGATTATAATGATCACTTAACAGAAACAGTCCTCAAATCCTCTACTGAGAAGCTTGAAATGGTCACATATGCTACATGAATTCTTTATTTCTGTGAATTCTCTATGTTCTATCCAGTAGTTTTCCTCTATTTTGCAGAGCAATAAATGTGATCTAACTACTATTGCTTAAACAGAAGTCTGCCAGTCCACATAATTCAAAAAAGCATCATCCTTAGTGATACTTTTTTCTTTTTTTTTTTTTTTTTCTTAAATTGACTTAGCAGTATCACGTTAGATGTCGAAGTTGAACATCAAACAAATCTGACTGGGATCATTAGGAAAGGAATAGAATTTCCTATATATCTTTTTACAGAAAGGTGCACTAACAACATCTATATTGGGACGCCTGCATACCCCATACTAAGGTCATGTCTTAACGTAGAATAGTTACTTTCAAAACAACAAGCAGGAAGGAGACAGGCTGGTTAAGTCCAACTTTGGGGAGACAATGCATTCTGCAAGCTGCTTGCTAATCCTTCATTACTTGAACTTCCCAGACTTATGTTCTTGAACATGATCTAGAATTGAGAACTGCCTAATTAACCATGCAGCTGAAGCTCTGCTTTACAGAATCTGGATTTTATATTCAGGGTGGTAATATGACTAGAATTACGAGAACAGGAAGAGAGAAAGAATTCCTGGATTTTGTCCTTTCAATAACAGGCTGTTTCAAAAGCCTTTTTTTTTCCTTGGTGATGTCAGCAATGAAACTTCTTCCAAGTGTCACATTTTCAGCTGACACATGAGAATTTCACAATAGCCTCTCTTTATTTAATTGTTTATTTAGTACAGAGACCTGTTCAAACGCATGTTCATTGGACTGTTTTTCAAAATAGTTTAATACCAACACCTAGCAGACATCTTTACTTGTTGAATTAGAATTACTACAGAAGCAGCAAGTCTGTAATATACCAGAAGCTATGTTATAAAAGGATGACACACTGGTAGGAATGGTGAATTAATTTTAAACTCCAGATACAAAAGGCATAGCTGTCTGCGATTCCTTACTGGATGAACTAACGTCAATCTACACTACTCTTGGGATAAAGAAAACTAACACATATCCAAGCCCACTATTGGCAAAAAACAAACAAACAAAAGCGAATACTGGCTCCAGGAAGCAGAACAAAGCCAGTGGTCAACCTTGCCATAGTAAACTGAATTGTCTGGAAGGCAGTATATTACTGCGCAGTAAAAATACCAGGACAAATAATTACTGAAAAATATGTATTAAATAACTTTCTCTTGGGAAACTACTAAACTCACTGATCTCAAATCATAGATCTGTATTAGTTGGTTGCTTTAGTTTGTGGTTCATTTTGTGTTTAACTGGTACAGAAGGCAGTACAAGGGTGTTGTAGGTGCCTTCAAAAGAAGCCCTACCAAGGGAATTCCAGTCAAATAAAAGGTGGAAATGTACAGGGCAAAGTATCCAAACAACCTAGCTCTGCTTGTGAACTATTTTGTACAGTAAATATCTGCTTATCACTAGTAAAAACTGTTCCCAAATAGGTGAAGACTTTTTTTGAGCAAGTTAGAGTGTAACTAGTTACAAAAATTAAAAATATTTCCTAACAGCTACTTTAACATATGAACAGAAAAACGTCTATAGAATTTTCTAGGTAAAAGTGATAACATGATTAAAAATATAAAAGTAGTAAGTCGTGCCTGACTAATTTAGTGGCCT